CGACAACAAAGATCGGGTTATTAAACGAGCGAATCCACGGTTCTTAACAAACTCAGCTGCTTCCAATAGTCTTTGCCGTAGCTCAGCTACATTTTGAATCGGCTTGAAATACACTTTTTCTTTTACAGTTCCCCAGTAAAAAAATCTAAAGGATTCAAATCAGGTGATCGGGCTGGCTACGGTATTGTACCAGACCGCCTTATCCATCTGCCTGGAAAGTTTTGATCGAGATACTCTCTCACTGAGAGTGCATAGTGCTGGGCAGCCATCATGCTGAAATCACATGTCCCTGTAAATACTCAGTGGCACGTCCACCAATAAATTTTGTACATGATTTTTCAAAAAATCCAAATAAACTTAAGCAGTCAAAGTCTCTGGGAACCCAAACGGACCGATTATTTTACCATTTAAAATTCCTGTGCAATGGTTTATCTTGAAGCGATATTGAGATTTATCTTCTCTCATCAAATGTGCGACAAAAAGCAACTCGGGGCTCATAATCCCGGGGCAGGAGAGGTTGAACACGCTGTATGTGGTATGGATGAAGCACATCACTTACTTGCTATTGCACACTTTGATACCGATCAGTACTCCTTCGTTTACTGCGCATCTTTACATGTTCGTGCTGTTACTAATTTTGGATTCGTGAACTGGACTGTCGATCGCTTGAGATTTGGATTTGGACTGTCTAATTGCTCTTCAAAACAACATTTACTTTCCTTAGACTATCTTTGATAGTGTGATTGTGCAGTGCCGCTATGTCCGTGTACACCGGTACAAGAATATGCTAACATGCACCTCATTTATGGGGAATGCAGATGCAACGCTAGTGCTGCTGCGAGACTTTACTGTGAGAGGTACCCGAATGCAGCTCGTCATCCAGATCATCGAGTGTTCACAAATGTACACCGCTTACTGTTCTCAGAGGGCCAACTACCAAACCAATCACACGGTGAGGGAAGATCTTTCCTTCCTTACGAAGACGTGGTGCTAGGAGCTGTCGAAGAAGACCCGAGTACTTCAGTGCGTGCAATAGAACTAAAAACAGGTGTGCCCAAAAGTACAGCCCATAGAATCTTGCAAAAAAACGTGCTCCATCCATACCACGTACAGCGTTTTCAAGCTCTTCTGCCCCGGGATTATGAGCCCCGAGTTGCTTTTTGTCGCACAATGTTAGAAAGACACAGGGAAGATCCACGGTTTTTTGAAAAACTTTTATGGTCAGATGAGACCACATTTAAGAAAGATGGGTAGATGAACCTGCATAACTTACACGAGTGGCACGTAGCAAACCCACATTTGATGAGAGAAGATAAATCTCAATATCGCTTCAAGATAAACCATTGGACAGGAATTTTAAATGGTAAAATAATCGGTCCGTTTGAGTTCCCAGAGACTTTGACTGCTGAGGTTTATTTAGGTTTTTTGCAAAATCATTTAGAAAATTTATTGGAGGACGTGCCACTGAGTATTTACAGGGACATGTGGTTTCAGCATGATTGCTGCCCAGCGCACTATGCACTCTCAGTGAGAGAGTCTCTCGATCAAAACTTTCCAGGCAGATGGATAGGGCGGTCTGGTACAATACCGTGGCCAGCCCGGTCACCAGATTTGAATCCGTTAGATTTTTTTTACTGGGGAACTGTAAAAGAAAAAGTGTATTTTAAGCCGATTCAAAATGTAGCTGAGCTACGGCAAAGACTATTGGAAGCAGCTGAGTTTGTTAATAACCGTGGATTCGCTCGTTTAATAACCCGATCTTTTTTAAGAAGATGTCGAGCGTGTATTGCGGCTAAAGGAAAACAGTTTGAGCATTTGCTGTAAAGGTAAATCATCATCAGCAGCATTTTGACGCCCACTGTTGTGCAAACAGTTATCCTTAAGGGTCCTTGTGCGTTTTCATAATCGCTGTTTAATTAGGAAATTTTGAAAAGTTTTCATCAGTTTTTCTTCAAATAAAAATTGTGCATAAGTTAACGAGTAATCTTCTAAGTGTTATACCATTTTGGAATCCTTACTAAATGCGTCAACTTTTAAGGTTACTTGCCAAACTCTCGTAGTACATTTTTTCCAGTACAGCCAGTTAAAGTTGAGCAAAGTTTTACTTTGGAATACTTGGTTGGGAAATAAGTAGCAATTTTTCCTGAACGAGAAAAGTTGGCAGTAAGGTTGAGACACCAGTTTGGAGATGCATTATTCATAATTGCATTGTAAAAATAGAATCCAAAAAAAGTTAATATTTGTAGTAACAGGAGTTGACAGACTGCCGTAGAGTGTGAAATTTCTATATTTTTTTCAAAGACCTATAATTTTCAAAACACATACATAAAATTTTTTTAAATATTTTTCTGATAGCTGTTATGACTTTGCCTATCACCCGGTTTCGGCTTGACGTCGACTTCTGGGACACCCTGTATATGTTCAGTGTCCCTTACTAGTAAAATGGTTGAATTTTCAGCTGGATTCGTCAACTGACTGCAGAAGCTGGTTAAATAATGTGTTGAGGCTCCACGCTTTCTTATACACTCATTGACATGCTGATAAGGTGGTCGATATGCTTTTGGGGTATCTGATTCCAGGCTACTGCAACTTCGTGAGTAAGAGCTGCTAAAGCCTGTGGAGGGTGTTCAATTCAAGAGCCTGCGACCTATCATGTCCCAGATATGTCCGACATTATCAGAATGTTAGGGGCTTGAATTCCAAAATTGATGATTTATTTTCATCGGCAACCTTGAATGAATATGATCTAATTGGTTTAACAGAAGCTTGGCTGTCCGACAAAGTACCTAACTCTGAAATTTTTCCTGGAAACTACAGTGTGTTTCGTAGTGATTTTGTAAGATTAAATAAATTGTCTGGTATTGTTGGCATGTAAAACTAGTTTTATGGCAGAGCATGTTTTTTTAGATTTGTCTACTGATTATCCTTCCATTGACATAGTTGCGATTAAGTGCAAGCTACCACACACTCTGTCTGTTTATGTTATCTATATTCCACCAGACACTTCTAATGACACTTACGAAAGTTTTTTGTTACACATGAGTACGTTAATAATCAATCAGCCCAACGTTTTGATACTTGGCGATTTTAATGCCCCCGGTTTCGTATTTAGTCTCCATGCAGATTTTCGTTGTACAACGCTATCTAATTTTTTAGATCTTACCAACACCATTCAATCTAACCTAATGCACTGGGGCGATTGCTGGATTTAGTCACAAGTACTGAAAGTGTACTATGTAGAGGAAAGGTGCCTAATATGAGATACATTTTGGTCTGATTACCAAATTGAGCCATATTTCCTATTATTATTGTGAAAACCTAGTGAAGCAAGTTCTTTGAAGTGTTTATAAGTTACTTTCCTTAGCGATAAATAAAAAAAATATATTAGAATTTTAATATTCTTGCGATTAGTTAAAAATGCGTTTTATACATTTTCGATTTTGGGGCTCCTAATATGAGATAGTAAAGGTTCCTAATATGAGATGGTCTCATATTAGGAACCAATTAAATACATGTTTTTATTTATGCATATTTTATTGAAAAAAGGTTATCCTTCACAGCTGCACAAAACAAAAGTTAACAAAATATATTTTAAGATTAATTTGCTTTAGCCAAACAAGAGTCTTTTTTGCCTTTGCCTTGTTTTTCACAAAGTGGACAAGTGAATGTATTGCCACTGACTTCTCCACATTCTTCGTGAGTCCAGCGAAAGCACATGGTACACTGAGCCCATTTTTCTCCATGTATATCTTCCGAATATCGTCCCCGACAAAATTGACACTCTGCGTCATCATTATCTTCTTCGCTAGAATCATTGTATTCAATTTCCAATTCCTCTGACTCCGAGCTGCTTACCACTGGTACTCTTTTCTTCGATATTTTCCCTTTTCCCTCCTTAATATTTAATTTGTTTTGACCAGCATCTGTTTTTTTCTTCCTCTTTTTTTCAGCTTCTTCTAAAAAGGTTTTATATGGAGTTGACGTAATGAGGCTTGCTGAGCCCTTTCTTCTCCCGGAATTATTGGAAGTCCCCGAAGTTGATGGTACCGGCTGAATATCTTGGGGAGACACCAACAGTGGCTTAGTGGGAGGAACTAAATGAGGAGCGACAGTTACAACATTATTTCTTATTAAAAAAAATTCTGTTGCAGGGAAACAAACCTGGTTTTCTGAATGCGTTGATTGACACATCCATAGAAGCTGTTTTGTTGTAAGCTTTCCAAGTAATGAAGAAATATTATTATTTGTTACTGGTTTTCCAGGATTGTTTCTAAGAAAGGTTTCGATTTCCTACGCTTAGTATGTTTTTAAAGGTGCCATGAAGCCTACATCAAGAGGCTGCATTTTATGTGTTGCGTGGGGAGGTAAGCAGACAACAGATACATGGTTTTGCCTGGCAATGTCTATCATTTCAATATTCCTGGTATGTGAGTAGTGGCCATCCAGTATCAATAAAACAGGATCATCTTTTGTTGGTTTAGTAAACTTAATAAAGTGTGCAAACCACTGCGTAAAAATATGCGTTTGGATCCACCCAGATGGATGACAAGCCCAAATAGACCCAACAGGTGCACCCTCCATCAAGTGTTCAGACATATTTTTTCTTGGAAATATTAGAAGAGGAGGAACATATGTACCAACGGCGTTCATACATGTGACGACTGTAATTAGTTTTCCCCTTTCCATGGACGTTATTGCACAAACTTGCTTTTTTCCTTTTAAACCCAAAACTTTACTTTGTTTGTGTTGGACTACTGTTATTCCAGTTTCGTCGACATTAAATAGTCTGTGGGGTGAATAATGAATTTTTTCTAATTCTTTTTCGTAAATGTCGAAAACTTTCAGCATTAAATCCTTTTACTCTTGCTGCAGATATTGCCTGGGGAGTACGGACGGATAACTCAGGATGTTTTGCCAAAAATCCTCTTAGCCACTTTTTCCACGCACTTCCTGTTCTTTGACTAGGAAGTCGTAGTCCATTTCGAATGGCTAACTAAAATGCCATGTGTTTAACGTCTTGCCTTCTCAATCCATAGAACTTTTTTCCATTTGTATGCAATATTCCGCCAGCATCTTTTCCATTTCACAAGTCAAAGCTGGCTTTCTACCCAAACTGGTAGATACCAACTCATGTACACTTCTTGCATCCTTTACATACCTTTCAATAGTCCCTGAAAAAACAAAAACTTTAATTAGAACAGTATATTTTAAAAAAGGAAAATTTATTTACCTTTTGGAACTTGAAATATTTGAGAGGCCTTTTGGTATCCCATTTCCTTATTTTTAACTGCTTGAACAGCCCTAACCATGGCTCCCTTGTCCCATTGTTTACGTTTTATTCCTCCGTCTACGAGAGAGATGGGGAGGGTGCCGTTTGACTCGTGAGATCCTAGCATTATTTTACCAGTTGTCGTTATGCATCCTTGGATGGTGGAGCACCGCGTTTTCGCCTATGATTGTTTCGTCCGAAATAATGCGTCAGTCATCATCGTACAGCGTGAGTTTCGTCGCCACTTCAACATTCATCGGAATAGAGCTGTTCCCTCTCGAAACACCATCCTTCGTTGGGTTTAATCACTTCGCAGGCGTGGTGAACTGATCAACAGAAGACCAAGAGGAGCGCCGCGAACAGTTCGAACTCCTGAAAATGTTGAACGCGTTCGACAGGTCGTTCTTCGCAGTCCGACTCGGAAACACGCTGCTGCACTTCGCCTTAGTGATCGTTCGGTATGGCGAATTTTGCATATGGATCACCGCTTTCACCCATACAAATTGGCCATTGTGCAACAGTTACAGTCCGGAGATTATGCACAACGAATGAACTTCGCACGTGAGATGGAAGCACTGATCGATCAAAATGAGAACCTCATTTTGTTTATGAGTGACGAAGCCCACTTTCACCTAAACAGCATGGTTAACCAGCAGAATTGTCGTTATTGGGCTAATGAAAACACGCAACAGGTATACGAAAGACCGCTTCACAGCCCAAAAGTAACGGTTGGTGCGCTGTATCGCAAACTTGTATGATTAGTCCTTACTTCTTCGAAGACGGTAATGGTCGAGCATCCATGGACGTTATTCGCTCTCTCTTCCCTGGTCGCCTTATTTCCAGGTTTGGCGATGTTCATTGGCCTCCTCGGTCCCCAGATTTATCCATATGCGATTTTTTCTTATGGGGACACCTCAAGGCAAGAGTATACGCGAACAAGCCCCGAACTCTGGACGAATTGAAGGGCGAAATTCGCGTGGAAATCGCCCAAGTTGAGAGAACGATGTTGGACTTCATCACCGAACAAGCAATAAACAAACCGAAACCTGTCTGTTTTCAAAATAAATATTTAATTAAAATGAGAGGTCTAAGCACCCATTGGGTACCCTGGGGATACATGGGAAAGGGGGAATGCCACACGGACTCTGGCGAGGGAACACGTGTGCATGCAACATGCACACATTCTGGCTCCGCCTACGAGATCCGCCGGGTGGTACCTCCGCGTTCGACAGTAAGAGACCATCTACCACCTACGGACAATCACAACATCCAAAGCCAAGAGAAAAATTTCTCCTGGGACGGGACTCGAACCCGCACAGCGCACGGCGACTGATCAGGAGATCGAAGAGTCTACTACTGCGGCCACCGCTGCCTAGGTACTTGATCTACCACTGATCTTCGGACGGCATTTACCTTATACGGAATTCAACGACACTAGTTGCTGATTCCGTTTTTTTGTATGTTCGGCAACACTGCAGATGTGCAGATCACTTTAAAAGCAATGGATATCCCAGTCGTGTTATAATAATAGAAATAATAAGAAAATATAACAATGTTTGGAGATATATTTTCATAAATAGGTATTTTTGATTCTGACTTATAATACCTAGACGATGAATAGTAGGTGGATGTTTTAGGACCCAGAAATGCAGAATGTGCTGTTTGTTTATATTTGGTGTGGATTTCTAGACCATAAATTAGCAAATACTGTTGATGTAACAAAATATGATGAACCAGTTGGCATACGATTTATATCCTTCTTTTTTTTGAAAATAACAAAAATCGGTACATTTCTACAGGTATGCATTATGTACAACACCATGTACGTGATATACAGACAAATCTAGATTGCCATGCATGAACAGTCATCAAAAACAGTGAAAACATCCTACTAAATATGATAGCTAGAAAATCGACCTATTATTTCTCTCATTTTCATTGGTCCATTTATATAACTGACCGTTTTTTGTGAAATCATAAAAATTTTAAATTCTATGAAAGTTATCCTAATTCTAAAGCACAAAAACATAATATTACATCTATGATGTACCCTTATTTATAAGACAACCGTTTTTTCACGACTTTATTCAACATTTCAATAGAAATCACTGATATTCATTCATTTTGACAGCTTCCGTCAAATTGAATTTTGATAAGGTCTTTTCCTATTGGTCCAACTGACCGTCAAATATTAATGTTGGTGTAATTTTCCCTAAATCTATTATGAAACAATTTTGTTTACTAAGCTTAAATGTCGTATAAAATTGCAGCGTCAACGTTTATAAAATATTATTAAAATTTGTCGTAGGACTGTTTTGTATTTTTGCTCTAATAACGTTTTACGACTACCTTATAAATCAAAATATTATACTTCCTAAAAGCGTAACTGTCTTACTGACAATTTTATTAAGACGAGCAGTGAAGAAGCAATTATAAAATAAAATAGCACAGACAATTGAAAATTATAAAATATACTAAGTGACATATAAATCCGAACACCCAGTTTAAATGGTTTTACTTTAATAAAAGTTGGTGAATGTATTTATCTTACTGTAAATAACAAGTGAAAAAATTTTCAGCCTTATCAGTTGGACATTCCGGTTTTTATACTGCTTTTTTTTAATTCACTAACGCTCTAAAAATGAATATTTCAGCAGCAGTAAAGAATCAACGTTGGCGGATATTGGTTCTTGACATCCTTTACGATCGGTTACGATGCCTAGAGTACGGAGACCTGTACGATTTCGTCAACTTAGTGAGTTTGATAGGGGGACTTCGGGAAGCTGGACTTTCTTTTCGGGCAATTGCAGTTAGAGTGCAAAGAAGCGTAGACACTGTGGTTAGGTGTTGTCAGGCAAGGGGCACTGGACGCCGCCGTAGAACAACAGACCGTGAAGATCGCCGCCTAAGATTATTGGCCTTAAGGGACCGTTTCTCCACTACCAGGTCCATTGCAAATGAATGGTTTGCAGAACAGGGAAGACCTATTGGCATGCGAAGTGTTTACCGACGAATGAGAAGTTTTGGCTTGTTTTCATACCGGCCACACTGGGTCCTCCCTTTAACTCGAGAACCCCGACGTAATCGCCTTGAGTGGTGCAGACAACGGTCACACTGGGATCAGTAATGGAACAGTATTATCTTTAGTGACGAGTCTCGATTTTGTTTAGGCATGCACGATGTTCGTGCCAGAGTTAGAAGGCGACGTGGTGAAAGGAGGAATCCACAGTTTTTTGTTGAAAGACATGTTCATCACACTGTTGGAGTTATGGTTTAGCTTATGGTTCCAGGTCACCTTTAATCTTCATCAGAGGTAACATGAACGCGCAGCGTTATATCCACGAAGTTCTAGAACCCCATCTTTTACCCTATCTTGACACCCTGGCAGATCCAACTTTCCAACAAGATAATGCCCGATTGCCCGACCACATGTTGCAAGAGTCACAGTAGACTTCTTTCAACATAATGATCTCAGATTGTTACCATGGCCACCAAGATCTCCCGACTTATCCCCAATTGAGCACGTGTGGGATATGATGGGTAGGAGATTGCTCAATTTCCAACGTCCTCCTCAGACTCTAGAAGCACTTCGAGAGGAGTTGGTGGTTGCCTGGAATGAGATACCACAGGAGGACATTGACCACCTGATCAGAAGCATGCCTAGGCGCGTTGGAGAATGCATAGCACATCAGGGTGCATCCACACATTATTAAAGGTCAAACGGCTTTAAAACAGTGCAATCATTTTGAAATTTTTATCATTTACTTATTATGCTTCATTAAGTACTTATACAAAATTTTATTAAAATAAAACCATTTAAACTGGGTGTTCGGATTTATATGCAACTTAGTATATGTTTGCTAGTTGGGGGACACTTACTTCTCAACTCGCGCGTACTATTAAGTCCTGAGGAAACTATTCTATGAATTTGAATAATAACTACTGCATAATTTGATATAGAAAAAAAATAATGCTGACCACAGAGAAAGGATCACTCATCGCTCTATATTTCTACCAGACAGCTTGGCATCTACCCATGGGCACCTCCGTCTGCAAGGACCGAGGATTGACATCCGCTGCAGGACACGATTCGTCTCGGCCATCGCCAGGAGACCCTCTTCAATGTCGCTCGCACAATAGGTGCGAAGGCTCATCGCTGAACCGTGGAATATTCATGTGATAGATGACATATCGCTTAGAAGGGATTTGATCAAATGTCTTCTGTATTCTGTATTCAGATCAGCGATGTGGCGTATAAGTTGTAGTGAAGTAGTCAAAGAGGACGCTAGACGCTTGAATCAATTCAGTTTGAAACCTTTGTTTTATATACATTATGTTACATAGCATGATGCCTTTGGCTTATTGTAAGCTCTGAAAATCAAAAATATATTGTTTCTGTATACAGGGTTCCTTAATGATATGCGAATATTTAAGGGTGTGAATTTACATGAAAAATTAATATTAGTTTGATTTACAAACTATGGTCTAAAAATGTTTCCTTACAAAAACTCGGGGTGTTGAAGTTTTGATAGAATAAAAAACACTCCAGGGATATTCCAACGAGTGCGCAATTCCATGAGAAGGAGGGCGGAAGCATGCCTACTAAGTGAAGGAGGCCATGTTCAACAATTTCTGTAATCATTTCGTTGGTTTTAATGTTATGTTTATGTTCTCAGTTGTTGTTCATTACCCCTAATTTGTTTAATTTTTCCAATTAAATTAATAATAATTTTGCAAGTTAGATAATAGAACGGTTTTGATTTTTTTACTCAAAAATGGCGCATCGAAGGAAAACGGTTCAATAGAGATCATTTGTTTTAAATTGAACGGGGAATTCAAAAATAATTTTTATTTGGCAAAAACCATTAGCGTACCATTTTTTTCTTAAAAAATATCGAAGTCAATACCCATACGCACGTCACTGTTAAAGCTAAAAATTATTTTTGCATTGAGAAATATGCAACCTTATTAACCTCCACTACGTACTAAATATCAGTGAAAAATCTGGAGAGGTTCTGAAAATATTAATTAATTTCCATTTTTTTCCTAAAAC